TTGTATTGCTGGCACTCCCATAAAAATCTATGCTAACAGATATGGGTTCACTGAGAGGTTTTCTGTGCAATTACTATCATAACAGTATGTGAGAGGGTTGTGTGAAAACTTTTATGGAACATAAAACACTACTGTCATTCAAGATCAGGGGATACACACTCAAGGATTCATGCTAATGTAATGTTGCTGGTGCTGTGAAAAAAAAATTCCATTAAAATTTGCACAGTGACTGTTGGATAAAAACTTATCAGAACTACCTCAAAATTGAGAGAATGAGAAAAGCCTTTACTTTTTTCTGTGTAACTTTAACGAGATGTGAACATCAGACTTGGTACCATGTCCCCGTATCAAAACTTAATCTCAGTCTAACCTAAAAGAACATCCTCTTGCAATCAAGAAGAAAGAAGCCAATTATTCATTAGAATATTAGGATATCTAAGAACATAACAAATAGATAGTTCTTCCTTATCAGTTTATTACAAAAGCTTGAGGGACTTAAGAAGATGGAACAAATCAGAAAACAGAAGGCTGTGTCTATAAAGATCTTGCCACAATCTCATGCCTTACTGCTGCAGTGTTGTATAATTGTATAATCAATGAATATTAAGATGTTATAATTACAAAATAAACAAGAGAGTTAGGCAAAGCAGATTATAATAACAAAAAGAGAATAGATACAAAGCTTACCCGTATCCTGGGCTTGCAGAGTGGATCTCCAGAAGAGATCCTTCCTCCCTGGTAGCCAGCTCTTAAATGAGTCTTCCGGCAGCACAGGTGAATTGCCTTCACCTGTGCTCCCGTGGCTGACTCATTGCTTGCCTCAGTTGATCAATCAGAGGTTCAGGCCATGATCCAGCAGTTCCCATACAAGTGTTTTTGTGAAGCATCTCAGCAACAGAGAATTGAAAAATGGAGAACATCAAGAAATGTATTACAACTTGTATTTTAACTTACACTTCCTTTTTATCTATTGCAGCTACAAGATGCTCTGCCTCAGAAAATGTTTGCAGCTTCCACTGGGATGAAACATACCATGAATACAGTTTATCCAAGTTCAAACACATTAGTAGAAATGACTCTTGGGTGAGAATTTATTAATTGAATGGTCATATTCTGTACCTGTTAGACAGATGGATTGAAAAGAATGCTTACTGTTGGCTGTGTGATTGCTCTGCTAAGGCTAAGAATGATACAATTATTTTGGAAAAAATAACTTTCTATTGCTGTATGGATTTGGAAGCAAGCAAAGGACAACATTAATAATCATCCATTACTTTTATTAAATAACCAACCTGATATGTGTCTCTTATTTTATACGTAGTGACAAGTTGCTGAAAGTTCTGTGATGGTGAGGTACCAGACAGCTGTCTCTATAAAAATTGTAACTTTTCTTTTGCTTATTTTTACTACAGTATGAAGAAACTAAAGGAGGAAATGGAAGGGGTCGTTAAAGAGCTGGTTGAGAACAATCATATTTTGGAAAGGTAAGCAATTGTTTTTCATTTTGGGGCTGTTAGGAGGAGCAAGCTTAATTTGGTACATTTTGTAGATCAAAAATGCAAACTAAGGGACGGTTCTGTGATCTAACAGTAAATAAATGTTGACCTGCTGATCTGAAGTGCAACAAAAAGCCTTTCTTCACAACTTTGAAACATAACTGTAAAAACATTCTGACATAGCAATCATGACATTTTTTAATGTCACATAGGTTTAGCTAATAGAAAGCTAACAGAGAGGTTAATTCCAAATGTAAACGTAGTGTTTTTGCAGCAGTTCAGTATGTTCTTTTAACTTTTCACTTTTAGATACCATTTTTAACAACTGTGAAATTCTACCAACGTGACTCAATGATATAGCAGTTTTCAGATTGCTTAAATATAATGAGGAGTTTTCATCATCACGTACAGAATGCTTGTGCTTTTTTTTTTTCTAACTGGTGATAAAATATATGAAAAATAATGATCTCTTAAAAGTTTCAGGTTAAATTGTTGGTAAAGCTGAGCTTAGCTTCAAGATGAATTTTTTTTTGTTCCCTGCCCAAGTCCTGTACTTGGAGCATAGTAGCCTTTCTTCTGTCTTGTTGTTAGGTACAAAAGTTACATACAAATGTGTGTGTCGGCATGTGACAAGGGAGAGGAAAAGCCCACAAGTAAATTACAATGAAGTAAGGATTAATTGATTCTGTATTTGATCTATTAAATCACCTAAGAATACACTGCTTTTTCCTTTTAGATTTGGTGCTTTGACTGCAGATGGTGGCCTGAGGAATGTGGACTGTATCTAACTTTCAAAGGACCTGAAGAAGATTTGTACATTTTTCAAAGGGAAAAAATACTGTTGGGACATTTAAAAGCAGATAATAAATCTGTATCCAGTTTTTTTTCTCTGCAACTGTAGTATTAAAAAAAAAATGTAAATATGTATAATATGTAAATATAGAAGAAATATATATCTTTTTTTGTCAGCATTTAGGGTAGAATTAATCCTGGCAGGGAATTTCATTCTTGGAGGATTTCTGATGTAGTCCAGAAGGCAAAAGTGTTGTTGGTGAAGTTGACATTTGTTTGCTTTTACTATTGCCCCTTTTTCAGAACACAACTTACTCGTTGCTGCAAGAGTAACCTATAGAAGTCTAAAAATTGATTAATCTTTAAAGGATGTCTTGGGTTTCCTTTAACCACTCACAGCAAGAAAGACATAGAGGCCCTGGAGTGTGTCCAGAGAAGGGCAGTGAAGCTGTGAAGGGCCTGGAGCACAAGTCTTATTGGGAGAGGCTGAGGGAACTGGGATTTTCAGTCTGCAGAAGAGGAGGCCTGGGGAGATGTTATCACACTCTACAATTGCCTGAAGGGAGGTTGTGATGTAGCAGGGATCAATCTCTTCTCCCATGTAACAGCAATAGGATGAGAGGGAATGGCCTCAAGTTGTGCCAGGAGAGGTTCAGGTTGGACATTAGGAAATACTTCTGTGAGAGAGTGGTGAGGCATTGGCACAGGCTGCCCAGGGAGGTGGTGGAGTCAGCATCCCTGGAGGTGTTCAAGAAGCATTTAGATGTTGTACTGAGGGACGTGGTTAGTGGGAAATACTGCTGATAAGTGGATGGTTGGACTAGATGATCTTAGAGGTCTTTTCCAACCTTGGGGATTCTATGATTCTGTGATTCTATTGCTTTGGAAACTAGCTGAATGACTCTAGTCATCCCAAAACAGGAGAGCTGTTCTAAGTAAGCTCTCTTAAATAAGTGTGAATGGAGACTAAAAGCACAGACAGGACAGAGTGGAAACACATTTGTCTTTTCTTCATGTGCATACTGTTAGTTCTCTTCTATGGGAAAATAAATTCACCGTATTCCTTTTTTTTTTTTTTTTTAAATCCTTGCCCATATTCAATGCCATGTTGTCTACTCTGTATGTGGAAGTTTGACACTGCAGGTGTCAGACTGAATGTAGAAACTCCTTTTGTAGAGTATAGTACTTTCAGAGTATTCTTGAAATCTTGTTGCTCGCTACAAGAGAAGTGGGTTCTTAAAATAAGATTGTTTTTTTCAGAATCCTCTTTGTAGGCATAATTTTTAAAGGTTAAAAACTGATATTCCAGAGATTTTTTTTTCCAGAGATTTTTTCAGTAGAATAGACAGCATTATGTCTCAGTGGTAACTGAATGTTAGAAAAAATAACGTAACCAGTCCAGATCTTGGAAAAATGAACCATGCCCACTGCTGATTTATATATTTTTCAACATTGCTGTGATAACCCCTTGCTGTTTCAAAGGCTCTTAATTTTGAAAGAAACTGAGCGTTAGTTAGATATATGATATATGATTTTCAGGTCTTTATACTGAAGCAATCTGAATAGGAGAGCTCATTGTGATAACAATATTGTCTGTATATTGAAATACATGTGGCATTCTTTTTCATGGTTGAAACTGATTTATGTTCTACTATGTTCATTTTAAACATTGCTGGTTTTAGTGTTGCTAAATACATCGGTGATCTTAATCTTGTTAAAATTACTTTAGATAAAGTAATTTTAACTAAGCACTAGCTAAGGAAGTAATCAGTCCATGATCTACTGATTACCTTCTTATGAAGTCAATATATTTTTCCTGTTGAGGTGTGGCATATGATACCATGGAACTCTTGGCTCATACTAAGTGTCCTGATGCTATCAGTCGTGCTACTGATTTGCCAAAAGAAGTAATAGAAAGTAATATATGGTTCTTCCTCCTGAAGCTGGTTTGCTGTTTTGGGGGGTTTAGCATAGTATATTAATTATCTGTTACTCGAACAAATCTGTCGTCATATGAATTGTGAAAATGCATGAGTGAATGACTTAAATACATCATCAACCACTTACCTTGGAGCGTGTCCTTTTTTGTCTTTCCATAATTTTGCTTTTTGTCCATTTCAGCATTACCTTCTAATGTTTATTTCCCTGTATGCTCACAAGAAATAAGCCTCAAATCTGAAGTAGCAAAGCACAGTATACAGTGGCCATTAGTCGGCTGTCCTGAAGTGGTGTCCCAAAGAACAGAACGACTAGCAGGGCTGCTAGTAGAGCCAGTCATGCTTTGTACTTTATAACCACTCTGCTGATACGTGTTCTGATGAAAATGAGCTCTCTGTGAGAGTGGCAAAATTCTTAGCGCTGACAGAATCACAGAATGGCCAGGGTTGGAAGGGACCTCAAGGATCATGAATTTTCAACCCCCCTGCCACATGCAGGGCCACCAACCTCCTCATTTAAGACTAGACCAGGCTGCCCAGGGCCCCATCCAACCTGGCCTTGAACACCTCCAGGGACGGGGCATCCACCACCTCCCTGGGCAGCCTGTTCCAGCACCTCACCACTCTCTCTGTAAAGAATTTCCCCCTGACATCCAACCTAAATCTTCCCTCCCTCAACTTAAAACCCTTTCTCCTCATCCTGCAGTTATCTACCCTTTCAAAGAGTTGATTCCCCTCCTGATTGTAGGCTCCCTTTAGGTACTGAAAGGCTGCAATGAGGTCACCCCGCAGCCTTCTTTTCTCCAGGCTAAAGGAGAAGAGGACTGACGAGGACTTCTTCACAGCCTAATTGGATTAAAGTGCTGTGCTAGCGGTAATCATAGAGTAACACCGGATATAGTGCTACGATAAGGGTTAAAAAGGCTGAATGGAAGAGGATGAGCGTTTTTTTTTGTTTTTTTTTTTTTTGTTCGTTTTCTTTCTTTTAAAATCCTGAAGAGGATTCTAAATCTAGAAGAAGGGAGGTGCGCCTGGATCTTACTTCTGCTTATTTGTTCTGCTGACTGCAGCAACCATCGCACCCCGGTGCTCTTCGTTCCTTCGGCACCGGCTCCCAGGTGTCCGTGATGGCCCCTCCGGGCTCCTTCGCTCCCCCTGCCGGGCACAGCGGCGGTACCGCTATGGCACTGCGGAGCGCCGCGGGGCAGGACCGCTCCCGACTCTCCGGAACCTCCTAAGGGAACCCGGGCTCGAAAATCGCGGTCGCTAAAAGCAGCGTATTATGGGATGTTCGTTACGCTCCGCAGCCACCCCCTGCGCGCCGCGCGCGCTGTCACTTGTAAGGGGCTGAGGAGCGCCGGGCGCGGCGCCGCGCCTCCCGCACGCAGCCGTGCCCCGGGAACGGCGGGCAGAGCCGCGCCGCCGGGCCGCTCCGCTCAACGGCTCTCCGGAGGAACGCGCATGGCGGCGGCCCCGGGGAGACCCGGCCCCGAGCTCGGCTCCGACCGCGGCACCTCCTGCGGCCGTCCGGCGCCGCCGAGCGCCCCGCACCGCTTCGTGCCGGCGGCGGCGGCGGGAGCGTGGTGCGACCTCTGCTGCCGCTTCGTCGTCTCGCAGGGCCTGCGCTGCGCGGGTGAGCGGCCCCCGACCCCTCGCTCCCTTCTCTCCCGTCCCGTCCCTGCGATACCCGGTAGGGGCTCGCGTGCTTCGTGGGCGGGAACGCAGCGGCGGTGGCCGCGTCCCTGCCCCGCGGGGACGTGCCTCGGTGGGGTCTTTCCTTCCGTTGGGATGCACGGCGGGCAAAGGTGGGTGTTCCTTTCACCTCTCAGAAGGCAACTTTCCTGTTTTGCAGCCATCTACCTGTCAGCCAAACGCACCTTGTTTCGCTTTTGGTGCTTTCGTCAGGCGTAAGGAAAAAGTCCAGCGGGAAAAGACATTCCCACGTTGAGGGCTCTGTGAGGCGTTCTTCATAGCTCCAGTCCCCCTCCCCGAAGTCCCAGAAGGACGTGTTTGAGGATAACGAGCGCCGCCCGTAGCAGCGTGCTGTGTCAGGGTGAGGGCTTTGCCTTCTGCCCGTGTCCCTCAGCCTCAGCGTTAGAGGTGGGTGCTGACACCCGGCCCAGGGCAGGAGGCTGCGTGTGCTGCTCTGGCTTAAGGAGATGTGGCAACCTCAGGTTGTCCTCTGCTAAGGTACAACATTCCTCTTACGAGGTTCCTATCCTTACCTTCTGCAGCTCTGTTCTTACAGTTAACGTTCTGAAAGGAAATACCAGTGATGTGAAAATACAGTTTTTTAAAATGTATTATTATTCAAGTTCTTGCATTGTTCCGACAGGATGTGGAAGTACACTTATGTGAAAGTAGACCTTAAGAATCCTATTATTTTCTTTTACGGTCGGCTGTTCTGTGGCAAGAGCCCTCAAGTGTCATGTTGGATTATGCATCTTCCAGCAGTGTTTTCTCAGCACGATTACGGCTCGCACTGCTTTTCTTTCTCCTCTGTGACAAGCTCCATTTTTATCAGCTGTAGTCCTCGCGGCTGCTCTCCGGCGAAGTAGCACAGGGAGCATTCAACATTTATAGCCTGGCATGAATATAACATTTAAAAGCCATAAAGTGGTACGGAGATGAGAGGGAGTGGGAGCGAAGTCATGCACAGATCGCTGCTTGAGCCCGAGTGCTTGCTGGCACCCCACGATCTGAGTGGATGGACCCAAATGGCTGAAAAATTGGTGCAGGGCGACAAATCCCCACCTGTACCAGCCGAGTCCAAAGGCTCTACATCTAACCCAGCCGTGGGGGCGGCAGCAGGCTGCAGGGCTGCAGCAAGGCTGACGACCCCTGCTGGAGAAGCCATGGTGCTCGTCAGCACCCCTTGAGAAGCAGAGGCTGCAGCAGGAGTTACAGTGCCGGATCCTGGCAGAGGCTTTGAGCTGCCTGGCAGGTGCGGCAGTGCTGGGAGGTCTCCAGGTAGTTCTGGGCAGTGGTAGGGAGCTTCGCTGCCTCATCTAAAAAGCAGAACGTCTGCATCTTCCAGGCGGCCAGCAGCAGATAAAGAAGGAACTGCGCACTGCATTGTCACAAGGATTCTGAGTCAGAGAGACGGAGGTATTGTACTTAAATCACCCTGTTTGAGTCAGCACTCAGGAGCCAGCTGCTCTGATGAGACCAGAGTCAGAGGTGCTGACCTGGATGGTAAGCACTAAAAGCAGTGAGGAGTTCCCCTAGGACAGGGAGGCAGTCAGAGGGGACACCAGGGGAGAACGTGGAAGTTGAGATGAGCAGTTCTGTCTCAGAGGAAAGAGCTGTGATGTCCCTATGGGGTGGTGGCAGAGCGTTATGGCAGGACTGGGCTTTGCCATCCTCATTTCACAGAGGGGAGCTGTGGTCATTTCTGGGGTTCCATGTGCTCCTTGGTACGTGTGATAAAGTGAGGTGAGAGGATGGCTGCAGTGAATGAGGAACCACCAAGAAACGGGTCCTTCTGCTTCTCGTGCTATTTTGGTGTGGAATTCATCAGTTGGTTTTCCAGCTTCTGCTAAAAATTGGAAAAATACTTTCATATAACTCAGGGAAGAATGATCAGAGTGGAAAAAAAGAGTTCAAGGAGATCAATGACCATCTGTTAAACGCAGTGCACAAGGTGCACATTATTCAAGCAATATATTTCTTGGAAAAAATAAGGCAATACCAGAATTTCTGGACTTCAGCCCAGGAAGAAAGCCGAGTGTAATGAGATACCTCTGAAAAACATGCTTAGTAGTATCTGAGCTCTTGCTGTTATTCTGGATTACTTTTCAAGGGGATCTTAATTGGAGTAGCACTCCTGACTTGCTTGGCCCTTCACCTTTTCACCTCTATTTTGGGGGGAAAAACCATTCGTTTGTGCAGGTGCAGAGTGCTGGTGCCCAGTCTGACTGCTCCTTACAGAGCAGTTGGGAGCAGAAACAACCCAGCTTATTCTGGTTTAAACCAATGAAATGATGTGCAGGAAAGAGCAATTTTCTCTTCTAGTATTCTAATTTTCTTTGAATCTGAGAGTATTATGTAGTGATAGTTGTCAGTGTCTTGTATCACACTGATGGTTTGATGGTATGTAGCATTATGTAGCACAGCAGTTCTGAAGTAGTTGTGTTGTTTGGACTTATCATTTGGCATTTGGAAAATGAGGCATTTCTAAGAGTTTTAGATAAATGTTGACCTTTGTGCTGCCAGCCTTCAGAATACTGCTCCTGAGCAGCTTTTCCTTCCAACCAGCCTGGTCAGTGGGCTGTGTTTGTACAGGTGGTAGGGGTGTGAAAGTAACACCTTTGTGCATGCCTGCCCTATGTTTCCTAGCTCAATTCTGTAGCTTTTCTTTTCTCTTGAATGTTGACACTTTCATTTCAGATTCAGTTGTTCATTGAGCCAGATAGAAACGCTGCTGTGCCTTTCCAGGAGTTTTGCTCTTCATTTAAGAGGATATAGAGAAATTATAGTGCTTGCATGACTTTCGGTTCAAACTTTCTGAAGATATTTAATCAGATGGAACTTAGAGGTACCGTACAAAACAGGTCATTTATTTTCAATTTTAAGTGATGAGACAGGATGGGGAGATCATACTTATGCTGAAAGTGTGAGATTGACACAGTGATACTTACTGCCCTTAGCAGCTGTATATCACCCAAGTAGCACTCTATGTGCTGGTGTGTGGGTCAGGTTTGTGTGGCAGGGCTGATGGACAACTCTGTAGGGACCTTGGGAAGCACAGAGGCTCACAAGTATTTGTGAAGTTACTAAAGGAAAAAAGTATTTCCATCAGAATTTTGATGGACACAGTCCCTTCTAAAGACAAAATGAGAATGCGGGTAAGTGGGTATCTTCTGGGTACCAGCTTGCAAAGTGAAGGATGGAGGCTTTACAATGACATGTGATGTATCACCTTTATTACAAGCCTTCTAAATCACCTCTTAAAAAACCACAAAGCCTCTTAGAACAAATTACAATATGTTATCTAAACGGCTTCTAATTAGCGGCACTTTGAAAGAGATCGATTCCTCCTTACAGAAAGAGAGGTAAAACGTGGAGAAAAGAAGAAATTGCAGGTGTTAGTGATTTTTTTCCTTCAAAGGATATTTTTTTGGCAAGCAATTTCTGGAACATATGTTTTAATGCTTTTCAAAAGAGGATTGATCTCGTCAGCTATCCCGGCAGTAAGAGTTCATTTGTATTTAATCACGTGTGATGAAGGGTTGTACTGCTGGAGCTATGCCTAGAGTTACCATTTGTATTACCAAATAATCTGTGTTCCAGGGTCTTCTTAGTTTCATCTAATGAGTGAGTACCGTGGAGCAGATTGGAAGTGGAGCTCTTCTTTCTTTCCCCATTCTTTCTTGGGTAGTTGTTTAATGACTTGCCATTCTCAGATTTTCCCTTATTTTGTTTGAAGTCCAAGATTACCAGAATCTCTCAGGCTCTGTATGGGCAGGAGTGGTGGCACACTGCAGCCCAGGGTTTGTGTTCCCATGGGTTTGCTGTTCTGAGCCCATTTTCCTCTCATTTGCAGAGAACAGTAACTCCTCATCTGGAAGAAGCAGACCCTGCTCTGAAGTGCTGTGAGTGAACCAGATGCCAAGGAAAGCACCGAGAGGAGAACTGGCTTTCTTTGTCATCAAAGAGGGCACTGGCCAAGCCTGAATCAGAGCTTAGCTCATGTCCAGCACTCACAGTCATCCCTTCCTTCTGCTGCTAAGCAGCATTTACCAGAACCCCCGGCATGATTGGATGGAGCTCTGTATCCAGACAGTTAAATGCAGGTCAGCAGTGTGCAGAACGGAAGGACAGAAGTTATGCTGCTTTTAGTTGGATGGCTTTATGAGCTGCAAGGCATGTCTGTTGTCAGTACTCAGTGCAGCACAGAGACAAATGCCTTTTTGATTTTTCTCCATAAAGGAAGAGCACATCTCGTGTAGTAGCTTGGGTGCAATGCCCTGACAGTGAGCACAGGAGCACAGAAGAAAGTATAAAGTGATACAGTGAAGGTTGAGCTCTGCAACATCTCTTTCTATTGGATCATAGAAACTCCAGTTTCTATGATCCAATAGCTGCCATGGCTAAAATAAGAAATAGGGGATGAGAAACATCTTGCTCTTCTGAGAATATGCATATACAGGACACCGTCAATCTCAGGTGCAGATAGCATGTGATCACTTGTACAGTGTGCAGAGATCTAATGAAGGATTCTCAAAGCTTTACTGTAACCTAAAAAGTAGTCAGGCTATTCTCCTTTTGATGTAAACAGACCATACTAAGATGAATAAATGTGTTCTTTTAGCAATATTTAATGCACATTTTTGTTTTCCTGCCCTGATTTCTGATTTCCCTTAGAAATGGTTCTGTGCAAACTCTCAATGAGAAGTCTATTAATTTTGGCACAGTCACCCAAAGCCCACAGGCATGTTTGTCTGTCATCTGCTGAGTCAACTCCAATGTGTCAAAATGAGTTATAAGGCAACTCAGTATCTTCTCTTCAGTTGTAGCTTAGAGTTTTATATTCTCTATATTCTGAAGTGAAACTGTATGTGTATAAAAGCTCACCCAAGGTACCGGATCAGCCACATCTGTCTCTGCGCATTTGCACCGTCAGAAAAAGGA